GCCAGGCTGGTCTTGAACTCCTGACCTCAGGTGATCCACCCACCTCAGCCTCCCAAAGTGCTGGGATTATAGGCATGAACCACTGCGCCCAGCCAGGGGAAGGAAACTTTAAGGTGCTTACATTTCACACTTCAATAAAAAACGCGAAAGTATTTATTCCTTTCAAACAATAAATGTATTATTTTCTTTAAAATTTGTGTAGTAAACAATCAGTCATATGGGAACACTTCTAGGAGGTACCAATTTTCATCACATAAAATTTAGCATTAACCTCAGAAATCAAGATGGTAGGATACAGAACAGAGGTATTCACTGTAACAAATGTACCCAGCAAAAAGAGGAACTGATGTTTTCATAAATCTATGTAACTCATCAATTATCTACCACATTTTCTTGTGAAAATATATTCATTTTCTACAGCCAAAATGAAAGAAGCATTTTTTTCCTATTTGTTCCCCTTAGTTTCTAAAAACTAAGCCTTGGAATTGTTTAAACTTACCCAGTCATACAAAAAACACACCTGAGAAAACTCCTAATCTCAGTCTGGGAAAAAAAAAGGTAAATGAGAATTCTTAACAAATGGAATACATAATTAGCTATTTTTTTTTCTGAAACTCACCTCTTTTATGCCCTTTGTAAATATTTTCCCACTTTTTAAATCCTACTAATAAAATGCAAGTTACAGTTAAAAAAACTCAAAGGAAAATAAGTGAATAAATCTTTTCAAGATGAGGTGGTGCTGACTAGAAAGCAGATGTGTCTGTCTCATGTGTCAAGTCAGGCAACTCAGTCTCCTGATTCTCCCACCCTATCCTGTTCACTTAAGTGCCCAACAACCACCCTGTCAGGAGACACTGCCTTATGCCTCAGTGACTGCCCCAGGTGCATTTCACTTTGCAAGTTCTTGCACCATCTCACTGGGGTCAGGTTTGATATTTTTGTCTTTTGGGATACCATTTTTTCTTTAACAAATATTAGCGAATCCAGAGGGCCGAAATTATTTCTGTGTTTTCCTCTCAATATCAGCGTCTGATTGGGTGACTAGCAATGCACCTCTGAGAAATGAAAGCTGGGCTGACTGAGCACAATCTTAATGCCTCCACGGGTTTGCTTTCCAAAGGAAAAGTACACCAGGAGATTCCTCTCAGCCCCGGGGCATCCACCTGTTCCCCGGAGAGGCTCCCCTTCAACCTCAGGTTGTCCTGCGTATCCCATTCCCAGATACCCAGAGTTCCATTCCAGCCCAGGAGCTGACATTCATTAGACATTCTAGCATGCGAAGCCACAGTGAATATCTTGATTTATCCCTAGAAAGTACTGAAACCCAGGACAAGGGAAAAAAACCAAGGGGTGGGCCGCGCGCGGTGGCTCAATCCTGTAATCCCAGCACTTTGGGAGGCCGAGGCGGGTGGATCACGAGGTCAAGAGATCGAGACCATCCTGGTCAACATGGTGAAACCCCGTTTCTATTAAAAATACAAAACATTAGCTGGGCATGGTGGTGCGTGCCTGTAATCCCAGCTACTCAGGAGGCTGAGGCAGGAGAATTGCCTGAACCTAGGAGGCGGAGGTTGCG